ACCATGTGAGGTGGACATTTACCATGCAAAGCACCCACCATTAGCCGCTTTCTTGCCACCTCCAATGGGTAACTGATAGTGCTAGCTGTTAAACCTGATCAACCATAACATTAACTCTTTAAGAAATGCATGGTAATCTTACAATCTGGCTACAGTAAGATAGCATAAAAGCAGAGTCTCGTCAAGGTTAAAAAAGCATACCATAATGAACAGCAGATATAGCCAAATAAAATCACATCCCTATTTGCAGTTCAAGGAGCTTTAAAAGTGGACAATGCTTAACCTCAAAGAATAAAATATCATATACTAACATATAAAAGCTTGAGGTCAACAATGATGAAGTCCTTTGGCTTGCCTCGTGAACTCCAAAATTTTAACTTTATTTTAGGAAATCAAATATAGCAAGATTTATTATGTCTGCTTATTTAATATACGGGATCTATCAGAACTGATATCATTTTCCTCCCAAATAGAAACCCCGCCCCAATAACAAGATCACAATCTTTATCTCTATAGGCTCCATCCTATAGGAATTTTCTAATTTACTTCTCTTGTTTTGTGTTGACCACTATCGATGTGATTATATCAACAGTGTGCATTTGCTATTTTAGGAAAGAACTTCATGTTTTATCCCCTTGGTTTAGCCAAATGCACATAGATTGTTATGCCAAAGTATTTCACTGGATATTTCGTAAAGATCCCGTTATATCCCTACTCGCTGGACCATCTCATCATCAGAGAGGTTCCCCCATTCAGCAACATTATTGCAATCACGCTTAAATCAATTGCTCAGCAACACCACAACCAATTGCTCATTCACAATTACACTTGCGTCTAATATTTGTCTAATATTTGTCTTACAACAGCAAATCCATCTTGCACGTAAGTTCAACCATAATCCTTCTTAGTCTCCTTGCTAATCTTATATAGACTCACCACCAGAATGACGGGTTAAGATAATACTTAAATGTACGATGCTCCGCCTTCGTTCGGAATCAGTATAACGAATGTCCCTTCTCTTTTGCAATTACACTTGCGTCCAATATTTGTCTTCTACCAGCAAAAGCATTTCGCGTGTAAGTTAAACCATATCCCTTCTTAGTCACCTCGCTAGCGCCTCTATTATAATCTTATAGACACTCCCCAGCAGAATGATTTGTCAAAAATTACTTAAATGTATGATGCTCCTCCTTTGGTCGGAATCTGTACAATGAATGTCCTTTATCCTCTCTGCAGCAATGTTACATCTGTGTCCTGGTATGGCTCTTTTGATCTCATGCACCAAAGGAGAAAAGCATCACAGGCTTGTTTCAGACTTTCCCCTTTTTCTTCCAGTATACTACAAAAACATTACATCTTTGTTCTGGTGTTGTTCTTTTGACCTACCCAACCAGCATGATACATAAGAAGGGCCGTAAAGCGCAAAATCCAGTAATTGTGATAGAGAATTATCAACTCAAGCATCACAGCACCTGCATACTTTATGGACCTTAGATAGCAGGAATTTGCTGCATCAGCAAATTAAATTTTTTTAGGCTGCTTTGTTAACATTTCCCATTACGATTATCTGGTTTTGAGTTGTAATCTATCAAAAGTCCAATGGACCAACTCTACTACAACTGCCACTGGAAACGTTCAACAGGCACCTGTAATTTCCAAGTCAGCACTTCCAGATTTTAAGTTGATCGTGATACACAAATCTTCCTGGAAACAAGGACTTAGGCTGGGAGTAAAGGTGTCTTTTAAGCAATGATCTAAATGTCCCTAGAGTTGACAATTAGAAGTTTCAGCTCAGTCCTTTTTTATCAGAAAATGGCAGATCACTATTAAGTTCAAGCAATCTGAACCAAAGAGAGCTACCATGTTTGATTCGAGATTCTTACCCGAGAAAGCTCCAATAAGAAGCATCTCTGCACGGCTAAGAGATTTTTTCTGCTGTGCTTGGCAATATGATTTCTTTATTGTCTCGTACATGAAATAGTAACAAGTGCTATATGGGAGCATGCCAATTATTGTTGGCCCAAGTCCAGCATACAAGCCTCCAATTCCACCCTCTTTGCAAATCTTGTGAACTGCAATGCGTAGACTGGGGTAGACCTCAGGATTCACAGTCAGCCGATCCTGTGAAGATCAGCACCAAAATTTCAGATCGTTTTTTCTTTCCACAAGCTCATAAGTCATAACAAGCACAATAACTTAATGATACAACTATGAAGATCATCATTAACACTCTGAAAAGTAAAGCTATTTTTCCACACTGAAAAAATCTCTAGTCAATACCTTCAGCACTTCAAGTGGATGACATGCAAGTGTGCCTGCAACTCCAGCAGCAGCACCAGCAACAGCAACTGGCGACAGCCATGAGAGAGAAAAGCTCATGCTAGCATTACCAATCTGTAGCTTGGGGTTGCCAGTATTTATCCATTTCTCTTGCGCCGAATTCATTGCTCGCTTGACACACTCAAATGTAGCAAGTTCAATTGCCTGTGTAGGAATTATCCGTAACATGTTAATTGTGTTACCAGCCCACAGCCCTTTCCAACCCTGATGCTCAATAACCTGAATAAAACTTGTACCAATGTTTTTGGACCCAACACCGACTACCATTCTTGTCCTGCATTTTTCAAATAACAAATTGAGGTAACATAACCTACTGAATTGTAAGAGCCAGCTAAAAGGAAATAAAATTTCATCCAAGTCAAAAGTTCATATACTATACGAGAAGCTTTTTATATCTTAATTAAGTTATCTTACCAAAATTCACTATGGAAATTACATAATCCAGAGGATGGAATAGATATAACTCCTCAGAAATGGAAATCAATTAGTAACTATCAGTTTTAAACTTCATGGTAAATCTTATAACCTGATGGTTTCAAGAGGAGCTAGAACAGCCTTGGTCATCGCCCCCGCCAAAGCACCACTGAGAAATTCACCGACTTCTCTAGTCCTGGTAAAATTCTGCAGAAATGAATGCATTTCCGCCAACTACATTGTTAAGCTAAGGTTCACGGACGAAATGTAAAGTAACATTAGAGGTCTGAATGGTCCAATCAGAATGAAAATGAACTTACGGTAAAGGCTCGACCAACGTCAGGGAACTTGAGTTGAAGGTTAATTTGATGGTGCATGAGATCCTTGGTAGGAGAAAGGTCCAATTCCTTGGGTACAATCATGACACCACGATATACATCTCCGACGAGACAGTAACTCTTCTTCTGCGATTGGGATTCCGCAGCCATATTTCTGTCAACTCCAAAAGGGAAACGCTTAAATATTAGTAGATGGGGATTGTTCGAGCTGTGACTTGCGCCGCATTTGGAATACTATTCCTGAATTCAAGCATATGTATCTCATTCGGAGAAAAACAAGACAAAAGAGGATAGATCGAAAGGGATAAAACGTGTTTTGTGAGACTGGGAATAAGACCAATGTTTTTGTAGCATTTGGCCGATGGGACGGGCTACGGAGAGGGAGATTTTTCTTTTGACTGGAATTACGTTTCTCCCTCCACGAGGCACTTGGTTTGGCGACATTTGAGATATTACTAGGGTTTCTTCGATGTCTTTTCCGGTCTATGGGCCCCCGCCAAAAACCTCCCGCCCATGCCAAAACTAGTCTGTTTGGCCGTGCTTTTAAATTACCTTATTTTGAATAGGATTTTCTTAAATGTGTTTTTTTTTAAATACTTTTGGCTAATCAATTTTAAAATATTTTTAAATAGCAATTACTATTTGGCCAGACTTTTAAGTAAGCCATTTTTTAAACTTCACAAAATATTTTTATTTTTACTCAAAAGTATTTCTTTCTTCTAAAAGCTTGGCCAAGTACCTTAGTTTTAAAAAATAAATATTTTCGGCAAAAGAAAAAACGGCCAAACAGGCTCTAAGACTCATCGAACTTAACTTCATACTCAATAAGTCAGCTTCAGATAAATATTATTAACCTCATTCAACTTCGTGAGTCTGAGATTAATTTTAAAGTGGTTAAAATTTATAAGCTTTGATTATTTTTAAATAAAAGTCTTAAACTACCGTTATCTTTTAAATAAATAGAAAATAAGGGTCGGGGTGGCTTATAATGTAGTCTTTCATCTTTTACTACATGCTAGGTGTCAGATTCCACGTATTATAATATTCTATTCAATTTTCCCTTCATCTTCCTCTAATAATAATAAAAAATATAACCTTCATTATTAGATGCATAATATTTCAATCAAATTGGACTCATATCTTAACTTCTTATCGATTTGGCCCAGTTTATATATGTTAAACCGGCATTAAAGACATATTTCTAAAGATATTTTTCTTTTCTTTCCTTTCTCAATTCTGGATACACCCAATTCTCTCTCCGACTATCTCTTTCTTCTTTATCTATATATTCACTTGCATCTAAAAATTATAGATTTCACACTTGATTTAAAACATTCTCCCTACTAAATTGCTTAATCTTTCCATATTCTCCTTAGCTTTTGCTTTGTCCACCGGCCTTATTTGCCTTAAGTTATTAAACAAAAGCCCTTTGTTATTTCCTCCTCCATTCTGTCTTCAAAATCTGCAAATGCAGCTTGTTTTTATTCTTTCTATCTTGGATTAGTTCAACCCTATTGTTTCTTTAGAAGTTTGCATTCTATGCTCTATATTTTTTATTATTTGCTCCACAATAAAACAAAAATAACTAATTTATTCAAATAGATTTAACTGAGGAGTGCTGGTTTAGGCTAACGGTTTGTGTTCACTTTAGTGATTTTTGACAAAAAATGTGCTTGTTGATGCTAATAATTCGTTTTGTTAAAAAGAAAATTATGATTATTATTTTGATATTGAGGTTTAATGGTGGGTGGAAGCAGCTTTATAAGGTAAATGTATATAGCAAGCAGTAGCAGATTTACATACAGAATTTGGGTAATTCAACACCCATTAACCTTAACATGAGGTATGTATAGTTATATAAAAAATTTCTGCAATTTATATGATGAGACAGCGGAGAAAACAAAAAGTTTGGTGGGTGCTTTGGTCAAAGAATATTAAAATGCTCTAATCAAATGAGTGGACGGGTGTTTTATTCCTAGTCATAATAAGCTTATTTATTTTTTATCTTCTTAGGATTTCTATTTTATTTTATCAAGAAGCTTTTTTTTTTACCCAATACTACCATATATTTTTAGACTATATTTTCCCTGAATTTTGTTTCACCTTTCTCTTTTATTTTATTTTTACCTAATAATTCTCTATAGCAAAAAAGAAAAGAATAAAAAGGTCCAAAGTTCGACCCTTTCTAAAAACGAATCATTCTTCTAGAGTGAAAAAAATCCATTGATTGTTTTTACTAACTTTTTTTACCGTCATGTTCAAATAGGTGTGCACTTATACTATGTGATCAACAATAGCACATAAAAAAACACGCAAGAACCCAAAATCCTGGATCCGCCTCTGATAACAAGTGTATCCATATTGTATATATGTTATACACCATCATACAGTGTATATGCTTTATTTATAGGCAAACTATACTGGTATATATGTTATATAATAGTATAACAATGGTATATATACTTGTATAATAATGTATAAATGTGTATAAAAGATACATACGCTGTTATACTCTTATACTTCATGTATAAAAGCTTGGGAGTTGGGAAAAACGCATAGCAGTGATAAAAGTGTATGCTATACGTATTAACATTGTATAATAGTGTACAATGACCTGTTATACATTATTGTATAATGCTTATACTTGTTATACTTCTTGTATTAAAGTTTGAGAGCTGGAGAATAAAAAGGAAGCAAATGCTACAATGGCTTGGGAAAAAAGTGTACTAATAGTAAAAGTATATAATATGTGTATAATAGTATGCAATGAGCCGTTATAAACTATTGTATAATGCTAACACATTACTTATACATTCTACAAGTATTAATAACAAAATACTTAATTTATTATGTCTAGATAAAATTTGTGATGCCGTTAGATTTTGTATTTTTTATTATTAAATTTTAGTCTGAGAAAAGGTATGATTTTGGAATAAATATTTACATCTTTAAATTTGCTTATGAATGAGTTAGTTTTGAAAATAATTAAAAAGCGAAATAAACAGAAAAAAATATAAATGGAAAATGATCATAATAACCAAAAAAGGGTGGGGGTGAGGAATGGGGGGAAATACTATGAGTTAGCTGGTAAAAAAAGAAGGGGAGAGAAAAGAAAAAAGGTGGGCAAAATTTGACCAAGTTGATTTAAATATTATTATAAATTATGGGACTATGTAGGAGCAGCGTAATGTGGTGGGTTATAATTTTATGCAATTCTCTAAATATACTTTATACTGGAGAACGTAAATATACCGCACGTATGACGAATTTGTGCACAAATAAATTGACAATTACATGACAACATAATTAGGTATCTCACTTATGACATAATTTGAATAAATATCTAACCATTATACACGACAAACTTTTCGGAGGAAATGACTATGGCCACTCAGAATTTGAATAGAAGAAATGGACATTTTCAATTCTATTATGTGTTTGTTTACCCTCAAAATCGGATAACAATTGAATTTGTAAGTGGTTTTAAGTATACGTAGATTAAATTGACACAAAGCGATAAATTGAATTGCAATTGAAATAAAATGGGATAAAGTAAATTCAAATCACACGAATTGAACAGTTGTAGCCTTGTGGGATGAGCCACCCTTGAACAGAATGCACTTCGACCAATCACTAGACACAGTTGAATAAGAGCTTAAAGAGAAAAATAACGGTATATTGCTTTTGAGTGCGTATAACAATGTATTTTACAAGTAATCAGACCCACTTTATATAGTAGGTGAGTCATACTTTAGGTACAATTCTATAAAAGGTAAAAATCTCTTGATTTGCTGATTTGCTGGTTCCTTATTGATACGTGCCGAGATTCCCGCCGTAATACTAGACCGATCACGGATACTTTGGCCTTTTGTTATTTCGGTCTTCTGTTGGTCACACTGACAGTGTTTCATCGAGCTCGTTCGGGGTCAGGGTCGATTACGGAATCATGAATCCAATGTTCTCGAGAACGGACTTTCTGACCTCGTGTTCTGGTTCGATGGGACTCAGGGTCGATCTCTAACCCTTCATGTTCCAAGCTCGATCTGTCGTATAGTAGACGGGCCTGATTTCGACCGTATACAGATAGACCCCTCATTTTTTGGAGAGTAAACGATGAGAAACGATATGAGTTTCCGATTCTCACCTCGATACTCCGTGTCAGAAACGATATAATGAACGAAACGTCTCGTCAGTGACGTCTTAATGGCATTGAATACTTATCAGTCGTTGGTCGGCCACTCCTGAATTTGAACTGTCGTTGTTTGAAAACTATAAATACACTCTTCCTCGCTCATTCAAACTTTACATCCAAACCTTCTCTACTATTGTTTCTTAGAAATTTCTACATTTCTAGCACTTGTATCCCAACTTCTTGAGATCTTTGTAAGAACTTTCGCTCGTCTCCATTCCAAATCATCAAGTATATCCCTTTAACTTCCTCCTTTTCATCTTTTTTCTTCCATTTTAAAAGAAATGGCAAAAACTTCAAAAACAGTTCCCCAAAAAGAAACTACTTCTACATCACGGCCGACAGGCGATTAGCCAACGGCGGAACCTCCTCTAAGCACGTTCATCCCCGGTGGGTGCTCGGTAACCGCCGATTTTAAGGTTGAAAAACCTTCACCCATACCGGGCCGGTGTGAGGTCTTGAGATACATCTGCTCGATAACTAAAGAATTTTCCCTACGGTCAAAAAGGACTGCAACTGGGTCGGCAAAGACGTAGTGGTTCCCGGGCCCGACAAAGATATCAGTGCCCACGTCGAGGGATACTTAAGTATTTACACGTATCCCTTTATGCTAGACCCATTGGACCCAGTCATCATCCACTTATGCAAAATGCACGAGGTTTGCCTCGGCCAGATTCACCATTCGTTCTGGAGGATTGTCATCCTTCACCGGTTCTTTGTGAGCAAAATCGACGGATGCTCATTCACCATTGACCACCTTATGCGCATATACATTCCCCGACTCCTTTTAGGGGGAAGTGATCAAACTCGCACACCGGGCTAGTAAAGCCTCATTCTCGAGCATCGATGAAGATCGGGATCGAGGTTGGCTAAGCTGTTTTGTCCGAGTGAGGATCTCGGACCTGATCCCAGCAGAGTGCATGCCATTCCCCGAGAAGTGGAACACAAAACGTAAGTAAAATTTCATTTTTCCAAAATTTTATTTTACTCTCCTTTCCTTCTTTCTTATCGGTCATTGGTAGTGGTGCAATTATTGCTCGGGTCCCGAATGCAGTCCCTCAACTCAAGGAGTGAGTCGAGGTCATCGTGTCACAAAAGCCATATTTTGAGTGTGCATGGCGTGAACTCGCGAAGGGCCAATGAGAGGCCCGTTCTTAGGATGAGATTCCTTTCTTAAGTGAATAACACTTGGTTTTTCCTTTGTGTCACTGAGTTCTTACTTGTTTCGTTTCCCTTTACAGGTCTTTCCAAAGATGTCGCAATTAGGCCTCCATCCAGTGACGAGGATTGCCCCACCGAGTCCCCTGCTCCG